ACCAATACGAATGTGGGTAATAAACAAAATGGAACTCGTCAGCTGTCACTTGCATTATACTGGCAGAAAGCCCCCGTGTCCTTGGTTAAATGCAATGTAGGTGCTATGTGGGACAATACATCCAAAGATGGGGGAGTATCATGGATTGTCAGAGATCATGTAGGGAAAGCTCTCTTCCATAGTAGGCGATCTTATGCACACCTTGCCTCTGGTTTGGAAACAGAGTTTTGGAGCTTCATATGGGCGATTGATTCAGTTAGAAACCTCAGGTTTCGAAGAGTCATCTTTGAAGCAAACTTCTCTCAAGCACGAGAGGCTCTGTTAGCCCCGCATCGGTATCCCCAATTTAGAGAGCTGTTAAACCATATTACCTCCCTCCTCCAAGCTTTTGAGACGTGGAGTTTCAGCCATACCACTGATTTATGCAATCGTGTTGCATCGGCTATTGCTCTGAGTGTAATCAAGGACGGGCGGCACCAATCCTACATTGCTAGTGGCGGCCCTCGCTGGTTACAACAGATGATATCTACCGATTCACTAAGTGCTCAGTTCCCTCCTTCCCTCTCCGGTTAATGACGTCCAGGACCATTCTCGTGGAGGTGAAGATGGTATTGTTCTCCCCGGGAAGCACCTGGTTTTCCTTGTTATCATGCTAAGTACCTACTGGTACTACTTATGTTCTTTCTTTCTTTTGATAAGGAGATCTTGTCTCTCCGGTTTTACTATTCTTTGGGCTTTTACAAGCTTGTCTCAACTTTGATTATGAATGAATGATTTAGTGTTAAAAAAAAAACAACGATGGGAAGAGAGAAAGATTGCAAATATATTTCCATTAATGTTTTGATCATTTTCTTTAAGAGAAGTACTACAAGTATATTTTATACAAGATTTGAGTCGGTCGACTAAATCTTAACGTGGTAATAAAATCTTCATATCATCCAATTATTTTTCTTTTTTGATGTTCATCTTTCTTTTTTCTCGGAATTTAACATTGTGGGCCTTAGTAGAGCTCTAATTTTTTGGGCCGAACTCCTTGCGGACCTAGCTTGTCTACCTCCTTACTAATGTTTCAGATCAGTTGGATCTGAGTCGGATCTATCAATGGATGCTAAAAATGCAACCATCAGCAAGCCCCCCCCCCCCTCCTCCAACCAAGTTCATCGATTGAATTACATCAGAGATCAACAAAATGTATTGAAAAAGCCGGCTTGACTCGAATACTGAATCGACGCGCTTTTGTTCGTTGAAATGTGGCTTAATTTGGGCTGCACATCCTGATGGAACGCCAAAAAGTCGCCTTGATTTCATACCTGGCACACCGCCTAGGTTATATGATGACTAGGCA